AAGACTTTTAGAAAACTTGCCTTATAGGGATAGACTCAAGGAGCTCAAGCTGTTTAGCTTAACAAAGAGAAGCATGTTCTTATAATGTTGGTTATGAGAACAGGCATCTTACCTAAATTTCCCCTTTAAAAAAAAAAAGTCTATTCAACCTTTTGGTTTGGGTAAACTAGAGAAGTAATATCAGTCTGGGGAAATATTAGAAGAATGTAGATCAGCTTTTTCCTTCACCAGGCTAGCCAGCATTTGTGAGAAGGCAGTGTTGTCTAGTGGATAGAGCACTGAAATCTGACTCAGAAGATCTGGGTTCTATTCCCAGCTCTACCTGGCCAGCTGGATGACTCTGACTCGCTGTGCCTCGGTTTCCACAGCTGGAAAATGGGGGTAATGATGCTTACCTCCTTTCTAAAGTGCTTTGAGATCGACTGATGAAGAGTGTTTTGTAAGAGCTGGGCATTTTTATTTAAGTGTTAAAGAAAAAACGCAGTGATTAATAGCAGAACACTGGAATGACAGTTAAATAAACAGGGCCCATTTATCCCACTGTGCAGTGGGGAGGGTCACCACACCCAATCTCACCCTGTATTCCCAGTGGGCCTCATCCCAAACCCACTGAGACCAATGGGAGTCTTTCATTAACGCCAATGGACTTTCTGATAGGGCGAAGTGGGAGGGAATCCACCTCCTCCACTGCATCATCTTCCATGCCCCAGACTCCTGAGATCTGCACAGAGGGGCAGACAACGAGCAGGGTGATGGACATATACATATTCAAACAAGCTTTTAGGAATACCTGACACTGTTTCACTATGAGAGAGACAAGGTGGGAGACGTAATATCTTTTATTGGACCAACTTCTGTTGGTGGAAGGGACAAGCTTTTACAGATTCATAGAGTGGAAGGCCAGAAGGGACCATTGTGATCATGTAGTCTGACGACCTCTGGAACACAGGGCATAGAACTTCCCCAAAATAATGCCTAGAGCAGATCTTTTAGAAAAACATCCTGTCTTGATTTAAACATGGAGAATCCACCACGACCACTGGTAAATTATTCCAAAGGTTCATTATTATAGGTTTTCATCTTATTTCTAGTCTGAATTTGTCTAGCTTCAATTTCCAGCCATTCAATTGAATTATATCTTTCTCTCCTAGATTGAAGAGCCCATTATTAAATTTTTGTACCCCATGTTGTTACTTGGGGGGAGGGATAGCTCAGTGGTTTGAGCGTGGGCCTGCTAAACCCAGGGTTGTGAGTTCAATCCTTGAGGGGGCCATTTAGGGATCTGGGACAAAAACGGGAGAGTGGTCCTGCTTTGAGCAGGACTAGATGACCTCCTGAGATCCCTTCTAACCCTGATGTTCGATGATTCTATACGTATAGACTGAAATCAAGTCACCTCTTAACCTCTTTGTTAAACTCAATAGATAGACTCTATCGCTATACGGCATGTTTTCTAATTCTTTAATCATTCTCGTGGCTCTTCTCTGAACCTTCTCCAATTTATCAACATCCTTCTAGAATTGTGAGCACCAGAACTGGACACAATATTCCAGCAATAGTCATACCAGTTCCAAACATATAACCTCTCTGCTCCTATTTGAGATTCCCCTGTTAGCTCTTTTGATCACAGACTTACATGGGGAGCTCATGGTCAGCTGATGATCCGCCATGCCCCCCAAATCTTTTTAAGAGTCACTGTTTTCTGGGATAGAGTCCCCCATTCTGTACGTATGGCCTACATTCTTTGTGACCTGTCCCCTTCATTATTTACCATTCCCCAATTTGCGTCACCTGCAAACTTTATCAGAGACAATATTATGTTTTCTTCCAGATCATTGATAAAAATGTTAAATAGCATAGGGCCAAGAACCAGTCCCTGCAAGACCCCACTGGAACACACCCACTCAATGACAATTCCCCATTTTGAGACCTATCAATTGGACATTTTGTAATCCATTTAATGTCTGCCATGTTAATTTTATATTGCTCTAGTTTTTAATCAAAATGTCATGCGGAAGCAAGTCAAACACTGTACAGAAGTCTAGGTATATTACATTATCCAAACTTATTATCGCATCAAAAAAGATATCAAGTTAGTCTGACAGTATGTATTTTCCATAAACCCAGGCTGATTTGCATTACTCTCCTTTAATTCTTTATTATAGTTCCTTTGCTTAATAAATAAGTTAGCTTTAAATGCAAAACATATTTTGATAGTCTATGAGAAACGTTTTTCTTGTGTATCCAGCACATTTAAGGTAGTTTTATTTTAACAAAGTTAAAATGTTTTTGTATATTTAATTGAATTTGAATTTCCATTCACATAGAGCTTGACTTGAATCATAAGTAAAAGACTCTTGATCACCTCCTGAGAAATGCACCATTCGCTATCTTCTAACATAATAAAAATTAAGAGTATCCAGCATTGAACCATGAGCCTCCATGTCTGTGTAGCTCAAAAGCTTGTCCCTTCCACCAACAGAAGTTGGTCCAATAAAAGATATTATCTCACCTACCTTGTTTCTCTTATATCTTGGGACCAACATGGCTACAGCAACACTGCAAACAACTGTCTCACTATATCCCCCATAACAGTGGATGGTGCTGGTGTCTCTTAATGAGGCTGCCTTTTTATTGATACTTTCCAGCAGGAAATGGTTTCATCCTCCTACTCTCCCTCCCTCCCCCGCCGGCCTTCGTCTGTTCTATCCTCCTATCATGTCCTGACTGACTAGGACTGTAAGCGCCTTGGGAAAGGGACCGTCTTCTGTGTTGTTTGTACATATTGCAATAGGGCCATGATCCTTTGACCAGGGTGCATAGGCACTGCCATTGTCAAATGATAAATAGTGGTAACATATAGATCAGGAGTCAGGGAACACCAATCCTATTAGAATTCATGACAAAACAGAACACTTTCCAAGGTATTGCATGGTTCTGATATTGATTTTAATGAGATTTGCTCATTAATTTTGGAAATTGAATGTCTCTGCTTTTTCATTGTGCAGGCATTGCATTGTACTCATGGGCCTCAGACTGTCAAGATGGCAGTTTCCATTTGGTTTTAAGGGCTACATTCTGCTAGCCATGCTCCTGTTGAGCAGTCTTACTCTGCTGGTGGAACTGTCTGTGGAACAAGGTACTAATCAGCAGGAGCAAGACTGGAAGACTCTGGCCCTTAATTGAGTGCTTATTTAATTATATTCAAGACTTAAAGACAGTGACAAACTCCTAAGAATTTAGGAACTGCCATGCTGGATCAGACGTATGGTCCAGTTGATCTAGTATTCAAACAGTGGACAGTACCAGACACTTCAGAGAAAGGTGTAAGAACCCCACCCCACCATAAGCATATGTGGGATAACCTGCCCCCACATTAGATCTCATCTTGATCTCCAGTATTTAGAGATTGGCTTAAGCTCTGAAGCATGAGCTTTAATATTCCTTCCATAAATTGTCATTATCAGTAAGTGTTGTAACCCTGGATATTTTTGGTATCCATATAAATATCAAATTCCTCTTTGAAGCTTGCTAAATTCCTGGCCTCCACAACAGCCTGTGATAATGAGTTCCACAGACTACTTATGTATTGTATAAAAAAGTATTTCCTTTATCCGGTGAATTTGCCACCCTTCAGCTTCATTGAATGTCTCCTTATTCTTCTGTTCTCCCTGTCTCATAACACAAGTTCATGTTCTACCTTCTCTATTGTACCATTCATTATATGAAGCACTTTTTATCGTGTCCCCTCTTATTCGTCTCCTTTCTAACGTAAACGTTTCCAATGGTTCAATCTCTCTTCATACAAGAATTTCCCCAGGCCCTGGATCATTCTTGTCGTCTTTCTCTGAACAATTTTAAATTTTGAAATAGCCTGCAAGATGTGCTGCACGGTATTCCGGCTGAGGCAGTACCATTGATTTATCCTACAGCATTATTATAATGCCCTTATTCTTCATCCCATTCCTTCTTGTGCATCTTCTAGGTATCTAAATGCAGTCACTAGAATATCTTGTCAATTACATTTCAGTTTTTCTAATATAGGTCACATTTTGAAAGTGCCCTCAATTAACTCCTGGAATGAAACAATAGGCAATAGAACAGGCCAACCTCATAAATCTTTATCCAGTACCAGTATGTCATTAGGCATGTCCCTGGGAGTAAATTCTCCATCTGTTTCTAAAGAATCCACAGCGTTTTTTACATTGTGTCAGCATTTACTGTAATATTGCCACTCCCAGAGATTTCTTGAATTTTCTCCAAAGGTCCCATAGGGCTTAGTCCTTCACACACACACATACACAAAAATATGGAACACACAAACAAAAACTAGAGTGGAAAGACTCTGACCAACTACATAGTTCCAATAGAGCAGAATCTATCTCCCCCCGCTCCCTTTTTAAATTAATATTTTGGAGAGGGAAAAAAAAGTACACTACTTTCTCCCAGTGATCATTTCTCTGTAGTGACCAGGGAAGCCTGTACTCCACCTATCAGCACTGCTTCTTGCCTTAATAAGCTGCACCTCTGAATTTCTCAAGCAACTGTTATCCTTACCAGTCACATTCATAGGTAAACCCTAGACAGATTTCAGTTGGATGTCCACCCTCAAAGTGTTTTCCCTAGATTTGCAAACTAAGTCAGCCCAAAGGGGCCAGTCCTGCAGTTTCTGCTCAGGCAAAGCTCTTCCCTGAATGTGGACTCCTGGATCAGACTCCCAAATTGTTGAGAGTCACTATGATGTGGTGATTGCTGTTAATGTGAGTAATTATTGGGGCATAATGCAAATGAGGATAGAATGAGCCTGCCAGGAAAAAGAAAAAAAATAGACTTACATTTTAGAAAAAGCCACAGGTGTGGCTTTATTTGAAGCTGGTCAGCTGGTACATCATGGGCTGTGGCAGTTAAACAGTTGATCCTACTTCTGTAAAGGGCTCTTGACACCAATATAACAGGCAAACCCATCTGAGTCTCTTTGTGTTTACTTATTCCCTTGGCAGAAGTGAAAGACTACGAGCCCCCATTTGGTTCTAAAGTACGAGAGCACCCTTGTGTAGAAAGCATGAAGGACAATGTCTTGCGAGATAGAGGGCGTCCAGAGATCCCTAGCTCCTGGCTCAACCATCAGGTAAGAACATGCCATGCAAGAGACTGTGGCATTCAGCCACTGCCCTGAGTAGGGATGATTCAGTCCAGACACAGTCCCTCATCCAGTGCCCTGGTGTCCAGAGGGCTGAACAGGCTGCACCAGCTGTTAAGAAAAGGGTGAGAGTTTCTTAATTGGCTGGCGGTGCTGGTGCCGCTGCCCTTGCCCATCCACATCACACACCCCATTGCTCAGCACTGGCTTTCCTCTTCCAACCCCACCCCATTAGTGCAGGGCAGTGAAGTTCTACTGCACCCGTGGCCTCAGGAGACACAGTCTCTACCCTAAATGATCCACATTAACTAGAAACCACACCCAAATCAATCAGCCAAATCTCAGTGGAATATATTGCCCCATAAAGCACTCCCAGTTCAGGCTCCGATGGGTCAAAGGGGAGAAAATGCCATATGAGGCTCCCTTCAGCTGAGAAATAACTGCTGTCAGACTCCGAATTTTTCTCTAGGGACCATCAGCAAGAGCACGCCAGCTGATCTGATGGGTTAAGGCAACAGAGGAAGGACAGTCTCTCAGCTCGTTCAGGGCTTTGCAATGGAAGCATTAACAATCCTCTTCAGTTGTGAGCTCTGAACCTCTCTGTTGGCTTTAACCGGTCCTGAAGAACATGGTTGGTCTCACATATGGTTAGTCACAGCCCTCTCATCTCAGTCAAAACCTCAGTAGGGACTTGCCACAGTCTGGACTACAGGGGTGTGAATTGTGGAGCGCTCTGACTGCCTTGTATAGACCCTGCTGGCTCAGACTCAGAAGTGCCTAGTGTGTGTTAACGTGGGCCTGTTCGAAACCAGACTATGTCAATGCAAACTAGGTACCCTGTAGTTTGAGCCAGTGGAATCTACACGTGCAGTAAAAGAGTGCGCTGTATAGTTCACACCCTGGGAGATGGGACTGTGGCACTGTACAGAGAAGTCCGGAGTGAAACTGTCTGAAAACCAGGCAAGGCTGTATATTTCTCAATGCCTGCTCTGGCTGGTACCACAGAAGCAGACAACCCAGTCCTGAGCCTGTCGATCACATCAGTGAAATAAACTGACAGCTGCTCACAGAAGAACACAGTCGCCAGTCACTAACGAAGTAGGGCCAAATAAATGAGGGCAGGAACCAGCCTGATTGTCTCAGAGAAACAGGAGCAGGGAAACACTCCAGTTCTGCTGCCAGCACTAGAGCTGCAGATGCCCATGAACCTTAGAGCAATTGCTAGAGAACCCTCAGGACACTTTGCCCCTTGTCTAGCAACAGGCGAGTGCTTCTCACTAGTTGCTGCCCTGTGGAATCAGGGGGCAGGATAGTTGCTGCTCCCTCACGACACCATTATGGAGAGATTGCGGCCCGCCGGTGCTTATCCAACAGGCCCCCTAGAACCGCAGACGGGGAAGAGCATGGTCTCTGTACTTGCAGGGGCTCTGCACAATCTGGCCATAAGTGAGGTTTAATCAAAAGGATAATTTAGGGAAATTGACAGCACTGGATTTGATCTCACTGGTAAGGAGCTTTACTAAAAGGAGTTTTGGTTCCCACCCTATAAATCCTCTCAACATTTCATGCGGTGCCACCTAAAATTCAGCAGGGCATTGACTTGAGTGGAGCTATCACAGTTTATCCCAGGTGGGGATCTACCCCCAGAATTCTTTAGTACTAATTTTGAAATCAGTAGAAGCTGCTCTTACTGTAATGGCTCCTTCATACTCATTTTCTTCATCTGCAGTTGTGTTTTGGTAATGAACCCATTATTCATAGGGATAACATTCTGGAATAGATTTACATATTGCAATGTTTTCCCCCTTAATGGGACTCGTTGCACTATTGATTCCAAGTTAATGTTTAATATTTAATTTAATTTACTGATTGTGATTTCAATGCCAGCAGAAAATGAATGTTATTTGTATACAGACAGTAACGTTCTGCTAGTAACATTGACATCAGGCAACATCACCAATTAGGGAAATTATATAATTAATGTGGTATTGTGAAGTGTTATTTTTTCAATAAAAATGTTAATATAAATCCTGCTTAATGATCTTCAGTGTCAGAAAGCAAAGCACACAATTTCCTGGCAAATATCTCGTTTATACAGATATTGCTAAGACACAGCTGGTTTTATTTCCAGTAAACATGTGCAGCAGCGTTGCAGTTACACCCAAATACCTGTGAGTAATGTGTGTCTGCAAGATCAGGGCTTTTGTTTCTACATAGAGCCAAGAAACCACAAGGACCTGAACTGGGGTCTGATACTTAAGTTTTGCTCCAGATTTCCCACTACCCTCTTCATGATCAGCTGACCAGTAATAGTGAGGTTATCATGTACCATAGCACACTTCTGAAACACACTGCTGGACTCTGCAGTAGTGGTCCACTGTATTTTATTCTACAGTAATGGTCCAAAACCTGTAGTAACTCTGCTGTAAACAGTGCCGTATTTTTATATAGAGTTCTCCCTACACTTCACATCAGATGATTATGAGACCAATTCTGTAAACACTTACGTACGCCAGTAACTTTGCTCACCTAAGAAGTTGCACAAAATTACTCACACACAAGTGTCTGTATTGCCTGAGACCTAACTGTCCTGTAAAGGAATTCATTGCTGGTGTTTCTGTGCCCGTTGCAGGGTATCCAGATGGTGTGTGAGACTCTTATTGAGTGTTGGGATCACGACCCTGAAGCCCGACTCACTGCGCAGTGCGTGGCTGAGCGTTTCAATGAGCTTGAGCACCAGGACAGACTCTCAGGAAGAAGTTGTTCAGAGGAGAAAATCCCAGAAGACTGCTCTGTGACCACCACCAAGTAGCAACAGCTCAGGCTTGTGTAAAGGAGGGAGGTTGCTCCTGAACTCATGCAGCTTGGAAAAAGAAGAGGTCCTGATCAGTGCCTGGACTTGCTTCTTGTAGTACTGAGGATCTTGCCACTCCTTTTAAGTGGGGTCTCCAGAGAGGGACAAGAATTTGTGGGAACCAAAAATAGGGAGTTGGTGTCATACCGTGGCTGCCTTAGATCTTGTCATGGCTAAGCTGTGTTAGCACTTCCTCAGGAAACAAGATTTGACAATAGCCAATAATATTTGCACTTTATTAATGCCTGTATATAACTACAGAAGAGCTATTCTTATATATACAGCCATACTCTGGAGAGAGTAAAATGTGCTTCCAGGAAACTACTAGTACCTAAGAGAACCCTGCCCATTAAGGAAACAAAGGGAGAGGTCTCTCATGATACCAGCAACAACGTGCTAGGCACCTCACCAAATGCATAGGAACAATAGGCAATAGAAAGGAGGCTTTCAAATCACATACTTATACATATCTTGCTGCTCTGTATTTTAGAGAGCTTGTTCACAGCAGATAGATTTGGCCTCAGAATCTGTTTGTTATGCAGTAACTATGCAATCATTTCTGCAGCTGGTTTCAAAAGGTTTTGTAAGTATTGTTCAGTGGGTCACCAGTGCACTCAGATGCTTAACTATGTTCCTCAAAATATTCCAAAAAATAGGGGTTGTGTTTTTGACTCTTAACAGGTGTCTCCATACAAAGGTCATTCTCCCTTATATGTTTATTACTTTGAATTTACACTTCATGCTAGCAGGCTGCAAAATATCAGAGGAACACATTTCCTTCCCCCTACCCTATGAAATCAGGCAAGGCTGATAATACTCCAGATGTTTTGCATTTGCTGTACATTCTGATGAAAGGCAGGACTTTGTTTTTATATCAATACATGAAGAGTAAAAAAAACTTTTTATACACAGCATGTCTAATTTCTTGACACACAAGAAAAGCTATAGGGAGGTCAGACCATCTAGCCCAGTATCCTGTCTTCCTGCAGTGGCCAATGCCAGTGCCCCAGAGGGAATGAACAGAACAGGTAACCATCAAGTGATCCATCCCCTCTTGCCTATTCCCAGCTTCTGGCAAACAGAGGCTTAGGATAACATCACTGTCCATCCTGGCTAATAGCCATTGATGGACTTATCCTCCATGAAAAGGAAAGAACGTCGGTGTCCTCGGTTTCTGAATTCCCATGCAGATCGAACACTCTAACATAAGATTGTCATGTACTGCACCTACCCCGTAGTTAGAGCTGCTCCCAGCTATTCAGTATGACTAGCAAAATGTGCATTCCAAAATTCACCCATCAGACATTGCTTACATTCTTTTAGCCTTCCAATAGGGTTAGATTTGAAGTTGGCCTCATATTGGACTTTAAAGTAAAGCTTTCAGTATTTCCTAAGGGTTCTGTCTTCTGTGATCTGTGCTCTTCTCACAGAGGAATAAAATGTGCCATTGAAATTAACAAAACAATTCTCCATTAATAAATATATAGAGAAAGAGGTGTGTCCTGTGCAATTATAAAAGCCTTTGTCAGACCGACATTGATATTTTTCTAGGAGACTGCGCTATAAATCAATAGGAAACATGTTTATTCACATAGAAGTTAAGATTTATGGTGAAAATATTTTATTTAAAATGTTTTTGTATCTGCTTTTATAATAAACTACATAGAGATATTTAAAGAGTGGTGCAGAAAGTCAACAACTAAAACTGAATTCAGAAAATACTATGCCGGATTTTATAGGGGGACTATTTTAGCTGAATGGTGGCGCTACGGCCCAAAGGAATATAGCTTAGCTGCTTTGTGCTGCAAACATCAATACCGTTGTTACTATAAATGCCGTATGGTGCATTGATGTGTCCTCTAGGTAGAGCTATGGCCCATTGACCTCTAGTGGTGGCTGTGGAGAATGCATTCCCGTAACTGCCTGGAGAGGAAAAGCGAACCATTTTCACAAACTGGATAGTAGCATAAGATTGTAGCATGGCCTGTTTTTCCTCACTCCAGGGTAGAGGCCAAGGAACAGCATCCAGTAGTCCCTGACACTACTGACATTTTTACTACTACATGTAAAGGGAAATTTTTATTCTGCTAAGGAGTATGTCACCTGTCCAACATGTATGAAATAGGAACGTGGATATATACTCTGCCTTAGCAAATGTTTCATGCACCTATTTTCATTTTATGCCGTGTTTGTTTTGTATAAATCAAATGTTTATTAGAGCAAATAAAACAACTAGAGACTTTTTTTTCCATTGGGATTTTCTTATCCAGACAAATTTTCCAGAATGAGGAAGGGACCTTGCTAGGGAAACGTGTTTCCTCAGAGAAAGCAAGCCTCACGCTGCTGCTATCATTCATAGTCCTCCCCTTCACTCCAGGTGCCTGCGGGTGAAGTTCAGAGCACAGCTGCTTTGCTGGCCGCATGGCTACTCCCAGCCTATCCAGGCCACAATCATAGCCTCCTGCAGGGGGAATAGCCTATGGAAATTTAAACCTGCCCCCGAACTGCTAACCTCCGCCCACATCAATAGCATAGCCACACCTGCTGCCAGCGTGGGTGGGATTAGCCCAGTTTCAAACTGATGGCTGAATCCCAGGCAAGGCCTTACGTTTTGGTCTGATAGTGCAGTAACCCAGCAAGACACTTGCCTGAGCACCAGGTTAGAGGAAGGCCAGATTAGTTGGGCTGTGCTATTGCAGCTACTGGTCAGGCCTCTGAGCCTGCCAGTCCCAGTTGGGAATGATGCCCCTTTGGTAGAAGACAGGCCTGAGCCTGGAAAAAAATGGCACTGAGTGCCACAGTTTCTCTTTGAGCTGCAGAGTTATTAAAAGTAGCCTGGGGTGAGGTGGGGGGTGGAGGGGAAATAGGTTCCAGCCCCTGTGTGGCACTTCAGTGGTTTGACGTCAGGGTCAACAGGGACTCTAGTGCTCAGTGCTGTGGCCTGTCGAGGAGCTCATAGGCTATTCTAACCCTACAAAAACATACTGGCACACTGTTAGACCCCCCCCACACACACACACGCAGCCCAGCCCCTAAGATCTGTTTAAAGTCAAAAAGCCTGTGGCATAATCCAATGTGAAAACAAACTAAAAAGCACAGCGGATACCTTTCCAGGGAAAACCTCAAGGAACATTCAGCTCTAAAGAAAGTAAGCACTCTACTTTTAATATGTGCCAATTAACCCCCACCCATTTGTGTTAGCCTAAAAATTGCCATCAATACCCTTCTGCTAGTAACCTTAATTAGCCAGGCAATCACAGTTTAAGGCCAAAGTACAAAGCACACAGAATTCACCTGTAGAGGACAAAGCACGGGCCTTTGGTTTGCTGTTGAAGGAATACAGAATTGCAAAAAATTGTCTGTGTTACTGGTTTGTACAGCACCTAGCACAGTGGGGGTCTTAAGTCTTTTTTAGGGCTCTATGGCTAGTAGAAAACAAGTAGTCAATAATAATGCATGGCCCAGCCACTGAGCTGTACTCACTGCAACTCAGGAGGTAGGCTGGGAAGGTGGCATTGAGGCTTGGGGAGAGCAGACTCCTAACACAACTTTGAGCAGCCTGTGCCTGGACCCAGCATCAGGGGGCTGACAAGGCAAAGGTGGTCCTGGCCCCACTCCTCTGTCTGAGGTTTCAGTTGTGATAAAACACTGCATATTGAAGAATAATTAAGGATGCTTCCTTTGCAGGTGTCACTAACAACAAGTACTGTACTAAACTTTCTACATGGGTCATGAATGCACTGGGCCTTGTTCTTGACCCCTTTCTGGCCTCTTTGGGCAAATGTTTATGTAAGCGAGTTTCATGAGCGTGATGGCTAAGGGGGTGGAGAGGAAGGGGCGCAATCCTCACAGTGCTTAAGGCCATGCTCAACTGTGAGAACTGCTCACGCATGTCACAATTGGCATAAGTGACTGAGGCGAGGCTGTGCAGTCTATTGCAGGCTCAAGCCCAGAAAGCACACGCCACCCAACTGCATCACAAATAAATTTGAGAAAAGCTTACTCTGTTCCCAGGTAGACAAACAGGCAACATGTAACTAAGCACAACTGTCCGCAGAACTGGATGTGTTGCTGCCACTAATTCTGTAAGAAATTATTTGTTCAGCTGTAATCTCTTCTTTTAAAAAAACACGTTAAACTAGTCTAGTATGGACCCTGCCTGAACTTTCTTTGCTGCTTTACGGTGCTGCTTGCAGGAAGCAAGTTTGCATAATGGGGAAGCCTAAGGTAGTAGCCCTCAATGGTAAGGCTGGCCAGGGGCGTTGCTGGGCCCAATCCTCGGTAGGAGGCATATCTGGAGAGCAGCGACTGCACTCTGCGTTCACCCCCTGCACAGCTCTGCTTGAAGGTGCAGGATTAGGGGTTTAGGCTGAAAGCAGCAGATATATCATTGTTATCTGAGTGCCACGTCTTGGGTCCAATTCATCCCTGCTATATCACCTCTGAAGTCAATGGCATTAAAGCCGGTATGAATCCAGCCTTTTGTTATCTAGAGCTTTTCCTGATGAAAAGTGCCACCCGTATTTATTTTGATGTATCTGTTTCTCACTGGAAGATGCTGCTATTTAATGGTGTAGTGGCAAATACCCCCAGAACTGGTATTTAATACAGGTTAGGATAGTTCACCATAGAGCTGAATACAAAAAGTTAAACCAGCAAACAAAATCCAGAAAAATGGCCAGCTCGATCAAAGCACTGCACGCAACTCCCAAATGATGTAATTTCATCCTGATTGCCAGTGGCTGACAATTCACTCAGCTATTTAACAATATAATTCATACTTTTAAGTCTAGACAAACAGAATCCCAAATGTTTGCAGGTTGTTCACCAAGGTTTGTGGCTCAGTCAGGAAAGCAGGTCATTAGGATTGCTAGAGGAGTCATTCCCATTATAAAATTAATTCATTCCAATTATGAATGAGATAGGGAGCACATAAAGGAAAGGAATTGAAACAAAGATAGGCACAGCCACCTGACCCACACTCTCCACAAGCATTCAGCTGTAAAATTAATTGCCCACTTTTCCTGAGGCGAACATGATTGATTTCTCTCCTAAGAATAATATAAAATAATACAGAAGTGCAGATTAGCACAGCTCTTACACCCATCAGGAACTAGCAAAAATGGTCAACCATCCTTCCCCCAATAAAATAAATAAATAAAAAGCAAAAGCCTCCTGTAAAAACACACAATGTTTCATACAAAGATTTCAGTTCCAAATATTGTATATGGAATATATTAAATATAAGGACACAGTAAACAACAGTACTCTTTACTCCAGTACTGCACTCGTGGTTACATGGTTCTGCGCAAAAATTGGTTATTAGCTATATTAAAACCTCTGCCAGAACAGACGCCATAAATGTAGTAGGCTAACAAATGATGCCATGGAGACTGGCAAAACTGCAAAAAATTGCTCCATCTTTGTGCCAGCCTTGAGCCCCTTTTCCTTTCATTCTCCAAGTCTCACCTCTGTGCCTTTCTGACAGTGCCTCAATGCATGAAGCAAAATGTGCTGTCCTCAGGAATCAGAGAGCAAAAGCAAAAGAGGAGTTAAGAACTCTCACCACCTGGAAGACCAGCCCTAAAATGGCCACTTTAAGGCTCCAGCTCTTGCTGCATGCCGGATTTAAAGGGCCAATTCCCAGAAAGAGACACTGAGAAAAAGAGTTCCTATCAAAGGACAATCCTACAGTGGTAAGGGTTAGAGAGCAGGTAGTTACAAAGGCAGGTGCTGTCTTTGTTTTATGTACCGCTGCTATCTCACACCCGCACCCTGTTTAGGAAATCATCACAATCTCTTATTTCAAATTTAATTTGGGGATGAAAAGGGCATTTATTGGACTACATTCCCAAGCCAGCAGCTGTTGCCACTTGAGGGGGGATATCTGGCCACCTGACCAGTGGCTGGGAGAAGCACCTGGGAAACAACTCTCTTTGACGGAATCTAAATAGCTGTAATCATAATGGTGAATGTAACAAACTAAACAACTGAATCCGTTCTGATGGCAGTAAAGATGAGATTACCTCCTCCTGCTGCTGGCTGCTCCTCAGCAATCATCTAATCCTGTTCTGGAATGTTTGCATTTTCACCCACTGCGGGATCTATATGGATACAGGAGTCCTCCTCCCACAGAGATCCTTGCAGGATCAAAGCACAGGGAAAAACACTGTTAAAAAAATGGGGGGAGGGATGCAAGGGGAGTTTCCCATTAAAAAAAAAAAAAAAGATAATTTTTGATGAAAAAAATATTTGAAAAATTTCAACCAACTCAAGTTACAGGGTTTCCATTAAAGGCTTTAACATCTTCATTGGCATTAGTGTTTTTCCAAGACCACATTTGCAATAATGTGCAAATGTTATTTTATGATCAGGTCCCAGTTACCAAGATCATGTTTTCTTTGAATGCTTTAAAACGAGCTTTATGTTGAGATATGTGTAAAACATTGCCATAATGCAAAGGGAAATTATTCCCTTCAAAGGGCTCATCCAGAGTAAACAGACAGACCATAATATTTTTTTTCTTTTTGGTCAGGGTGCATAAATATTTACATATGTGAGTTTGATTGGCTGCAGTACTTATCAGTTCACAACTCCATTGCTCAAATGGTGCTTTATAATAATAGTCACAAGACACAACAATTAATGAATATTACATCAAATGGAGGTTTAACCATCACCCTGAAATTATTTCCATTCATGGGTTTGTCACAAAACCTTTCATATTCTTTTTATTGTACCTCTTGCTGTGCAAATTTCCTTGTTTTGTTTTTCAGTGTAATTTCTGATTGATTATTGTGTAGTTACAGAATTAGCGTAATACCATCTAATTGTATATCTGAAGCAAAAACATCTAATTGTGTAGAGTTAGATCCAATTTAAAGAAAGAAAAACCCTGCACCACGATTTCTCATGAGTTGCACAGTGCATTTACCCAACAGGGCTGTTTTGAATGTATCCAACCTGCAATTAGCATGGGCAATTATGACATAATGAATATGTGCAATTGCATTATTTCAGCATGTAAGAAGAACAACAACAACATTTAGCTTTTACCTTACTGCATACATTGCTGATATTTTCAAAGTGCTTTACAACATCAACCAACTCACCTATAGGAAAACTGGACTGTTCACAGGTGGAAGATATCTGGGGGTTGGCTAATTTCCAGGAGCCAGGTGCCTCACTGTGCATCTCGCAAAATGATCACACCCCAGTGTCTTGTTGAGTCAATGGGGGTAGGGAATGG